AGTGGTTCCTTATAATATGAGAAGGTTTACTAATGGAAGCTGGTTGTGTTTCTTATGGTTTCTATATCCATTTGTCTGGTCATTTTTTTCACCAGCCATCTGGGTTTCTCTCACATCAGTGTGGGACTTCAGTGCTTTAGAGAACAAACATACCGGTTGGATTAACTGGGACAGGTGAGCCATCTGAGGGCGGAACAGCTGATTAACTTTGACAGGTGCTGGGGAGCATAGCTACTCTCATAATAACCTCAGTGTTCAGCATGGGGGGAGGGAAGCAAGGCACAGACGGTGATCGTAAGGTCATGTGACCCTCCGCTAAAGGGGGGAGGGGGCAGGAAATGGAGGCAGGTGTTGAGGCCTAAAGTAGTGAAGTGCCAGCGTGTGTTTTCCTCGGGCCCCCATAGAAAACACCCAGGCAAACGCATTTGTCTAAGTTTATTCTTCAGTTCTAACTGTATGACGTTGAACACTTGGTAACAAGTAGAACTATTCAAATATGAGTCTGGATCGAGCGATGGTGTATATATACATGGCAAGTATTTGGACTTTGACCTCTAAATGTGGAAAGAAACATTGTTCTTATGTGTCCTGTTAAGTCCTCACAAAACCAAAACATGTAAAAGATGTATTATATTTAATCAGTATTTACTGGAACAATAAGCAATATATGTTTACTATGAGCATAAAAGCAGAAATATATAACTGGATGCCACTGGAAATGAAATTTTTATGAAAGCTAATCTTTTAACCTTTCAGCCTTTTCAGTATATAATTATACTAAATAAATAAATGATCAATTGACGACAATGTTTCTATACAAAGCTAAAGAGGAGTCTAGACAATGTGGAATGTAATTTGGCCAAAATGTCACTGTTAGTATTACACCAAAATATAGACAAAGGGAGGGGCAGAGCAACTGACCAAATGTCATTGGCAGGTCGCTGCCACTGTCTTTGCCATGTTTAATTCAGCATTGACTAATCACCTTCAGTCTCAGTACCTATAAATGGCTGTAATTTTCCATGAATCGCTCACTGAAGTATATACCTTTAAGCTTCAGTAGTAGGGCCAGTTTTAGCATGATGAATTCCTTCCTATACAGAGTACCGCTGTACCTGTGACTCCTCCCCACCATGAATAATGTAGATCTCCTGGTTTGTCCACATTGGTACTACGTGCTGGGATCTTAAGACATCAGCCAAGAGACCGAATCCGTACAAGGGTCCATCAATCGTGCTCCACCCAAACCCCGCCCCCAATCCAAATGATCAATATGAGAATGAGGTCATGCTGTGTGTTTAACACATTTGCCACTTTAGTCAGAAATTAAATTAAAATTAATTTAACCCAAAGCAATGTCTGGTAGGTACAATATTTGTGTATGTTAGCTGAACATATAGGGAATACAATTTATTCAAAATTTCAATGTTTTTGCTCTGGGGGAATGTCCAGCATGTAATTCATCTGGTATCCAGAGAATGTAAAACGTCAAATCGAACAAAATAGTACCAAACCTTAATTTTCCAAGTCCTGTCAATTTCAGAATTAGCAACAGATAATTGGCAATCAGGATCAGCTTGCAGAATCCATATCGGTGAATCCTGTCGGCGTTTTCACCTCTTCTCCTTCTGCACTGCTGCCTCCATACCTGCATTACTATTCCAACACTTACTAAAAATTCCAGATGTGTCCTGCATAGATTTATTCACTGTGGCCTTCAATACGACTCCAGTTAAATGTGTCATTCTACTGACCAAAAGGATGTGTGTGTGGTTTCTCGTATTCTAAGTGGAATGCATGCAATGCAAATGACTCCTCCAAGAGCCATATCTGCTACCTGATGTTTTCACAGTACCTTCGTAGTAGCTGCAAACAGCAAATTAGGATTTTTTTTTAGTTTTGTTTTCATGATATTAGCATCCATTCCATATTCTCACATCAACAAGAACAGCGTAACCAAACACATTTTTCAAAAGGTAATAATTCTGATAATCTTTCTTTTTTAATGTTTGTGTTTGGCTTATGGTCCATCTGTCCGGGTTTGGTCCATTTGTGAGTAGATGGAGGTTAAATTATTCCCATGAAAATACACACACAGTACTGCTCAAACCTCAGCAATCCATCCATTTTCTATGATGGCTTATCCAGTGTAAGGTCACCATGGTCATGGAGCCTGTCCCTGGAACCAAACAGCACAAAGCAGGGGCCACAGCGAACGAGCCAGGCCATCACAGAGAATACGCTCATGCATTTATTGACTGCTGGAAAATACCCCCATGTATACGTACACACACATGCGCACACAGATTTAGTTTCTGAATCTTTGGGGGGACCATCAATTCATCCCTATGTCAAAAATTCTAATCCCAATAACGACAACCTTAAGCAAGGCAAGGCAGTTTTACTTATACAGACACAAGTCAATTCAAGATGTTTCACATCTTCCTGTAAATAAAAGACATTAAAATCGTATTTAAAAGACAAAATAAATAAATAAAATTTAAAATAACAACAAAATTTCATTAAAAAATAAAAACCCTAAAAACCCCTACCCAGCTGTAACCTTAACCATAAGTAACCAAACAAAATACAAGACTTTTGGCATTTTTAGTGTTTTGATTACACTCACAGATTTTTTGTAAATTTGAATTTCCCCTTATAGGGACCGGAAAAATGTCCCCACAAGGTCAAAATAACAGGTTTTATCACATTGTGGTAATGTAATAGATACATGCCCACCACACACAGCCAGGAAACAAACCCACAGCCCTGCACGTACGAGGCTAACCTGCTAACTGCTAACCTGCTCGACCACCATCTTCAGTAACCCTAAAGCTGACAGCTGGTTCACAAATTTGTTATTTAATTAAAAACGCACTGTTAATTTAAAGTGGTTTTCACATATCTAATTTCAATAATATTCCAGCGATTATATTAAAATTGGCAACCTGGAAGACTTGTTTATTTTTCACATATAAATCAAACAAACATTTTGCGAGAAATCCGGTTGACTTAATTGGTATTCATTTGCCTTCTGCTCCCACATTGCTCATTCTGTGGCCTGGTAATGACAACGGAGCAGCTAAGATCCAAGTGGAAATTTCCACTCCCTAGATCCATGCTTCAATGAGTGCTTGGGGGGGGGAGGATAGCAGCACCAAGCAAGCTTGACACAGCAAAGCCAGCTGGCAGCCTCCTCTCTGCCCCAGGAGGCCATGCCAACACATCAGAGAGCAGGGTAGGAGATGCCATCGGGTGCCACGTTACATAACCACCCCCCTCCCCCTCCCCCCAGCACTGTGCAGACCAGAAGACAGACAGCAGAATGGACATGAGTGCAGATACCAGGAGGGCCAGTTGAGCAGATGGCAGCACAGACAGCATATCAAACAAGGGCAAAGACTGTCTAATGCAGGGCCTGTAAGAAACGTCAGCATGGAAATTTTGCAATCGGGTAGAAAAAAAAGACCACAGAATAACCCCAGAGACCGGCAGATACAGAACCACCCTCTGCCCCAGTTAATGAGTCACACAATTCACAGGTCACTCACTACTGTGCATAAGTCTTAGGTAGCCAGAGAAAATGATGTTTAAATGATATATTTGTTAGTGTAAAACTATGCTATTATGACTGTCAAAGTGTGCCATCGTAGCCCTTTCAAAACCATCTCAGTATTTGCAGCAACCATCCAATACACCCATGTATTATTTTTTAGCTTGGCCACTAGCACATCTCATATAGCTAGTCGATAGCTCATTGACTATTTTTAAAAAATATAATTAAGTTAATTGGTTAAGTGAACTGGCGGTGAATTTTAATAACTATATGGAAGGGCTGAGGTGCCCCTGGAGGAGAGGTTAGGGAACTGAAGCGATGCATCTAGCCGTCCAACAGGACCTGTCAGGAACTTTTAGGAGAACAGAAGAAATTCTTACTAGTTTTTCTTCTGTGATTTTTAATTTTTATATATTGTAAGGCTAAACTGTGTTTTTCGTTCTCAGCAGGAGTGCATTTTCTACCTAGATAAATAGCTTTAAACATTTCTTTTGGCTGCCTAAGACTTTAGCGCAGTACTGAATATAAACAGGTATTAGAGCCCCAGTGACACACATGCACATATCTGACGTCAGAAGAGTATTCAGTGCAAAAACAGGCGCTGGATTCTATCTAAGGGCCATTGTGGAAGCTGGAGGTCACCACCCTGAAAGGCAGATTTATACGTGAGGAGGAGGGGGGCAGTGAGAAGGGATTGGGAGGATGAAAAGCAAAAAGGCTGGAGACTGGGGGAGGGGCGGGAAGGGAGATGGGAACAGGAGAATTTTGGGTGAGAACTATGGGCAGAGAATAGACTGCCTTTGCTGATTCTTTCACGCTTATGTTCGCTGTTCATGTCGGATGGTCTCCTATTAGCTGTTCCAGCTGATGTCACAGTGAAGAGTGTTTAAGAAATCTCAAAATTTCTGAGTCACATGTGTGCCTTCAACCTCCGGCTCAGCATGAGCTTTCACCCTCAGCAGAAAGGACTCTGGTGACAGGGAAAATCCAAACACGGGTAGCTGAGCTTTAGTTCTTCTGTATCACCAGACCCACAACCACCCAGCCCTGGTCACATTTAGAGGGTACTGATGTGTATGCAGAGCATGATTTGTCATACTTGCATAGAGAAATTAGCTCACACTATGTCTCAGACATTTACAGTACATTACACTTTCTCATTACAGAAAACCCTACGTTCAATAATCTCAACAGATATAATGACAGTTACGTTAAATGTACACACAGTGAAATCTGAGTGTACTGCAAAACCATTAAAATTAAAATGGGCTGAGAGAAAATGTAGGGCAGGGCAGCATGGCATGGGTCCACATCTGATCAGGATGCTAAAAATAATGTGATAGCATTTCCACTGGTGCCCAAGTCTTTTGTGTTATAATTAGACAAAGTCTCTGTAGCGATATGTGACGTTTTGGGGTCATTTTCTTACTTTCTTGCAGTTCTTGGTTGGTGGCTCTTGTCACGAAGCCCAGTTTGTGTATAAGACTCATTTGCCTCCTTATGAGAGAGACACAGCCCCAGTGTCTGTGACTGAGACGAGCTGTGGGTGCGTAAGGATGCATAAACTCACAGCGGAAAAAATCTGTCAGAAAAAAAAGAATGTGCTTGACTTCCTCTTTGAAAACAAAATTAGAACGTGAGAAAGAGAGAGAGAGAGAGCGACGGTATGTAAAGAGCCTCTCGGAAGACTGGAGCGCAAATGAAAGACGTGGTGATGACATTTGCGTAGGGGTCTGGAGAGAACGGGGTTCACTCATTAGCATCGTAGCTCTGGGTGTAAAAACAGGCCTTGAGAATAAATAATTGTGGGTACCGAAAGGAGCCTGAGGGCCTCTCAGCACCAATGGAGAAACATTCCACCTTTGTGGTGCTCATTCTGGCATTCCTGCAAACAGGTAATCCTGCGTCCTCTTCGAAATATCCTCCTTCTTGTCTTTGGGCTACTGAGCGACAGGTTAGAAGTACGCGCATAGCATGATGTGAACTTTTACCACGATTTAATGTAGCTAAGCCTGAAAAAGACAACCATTTATTCTGTGCCTTTGGTTAAAACGAGCTTTGACATCAGTTCACCTACATAACACCATTAATTAAACTTGCGTGGTTGGGGTAAAGATTAGTTCATGTGAAATACAGTGTACAACTGCTCAGAACAGTCCAAAATGCCTGCAAAGTAGGAAACATGGATATATTTTTATTAGCACAAAAGATCTTGCTTCAGTTTTCTAGATTTTAGTCGCTGATCAGTAACTATAATGAACATAAACAGATCTTCACAATTACAGACATTTCTCAAAAAAATGTGTGTCTGTGAGAAATGTAATGTTTCACCAGGTGTGGTTAAATGTTATTGTCAATAACGTGGACCGCAGGACACATCTGAAGTGGGGGTGGGGGAGCAGGGTTGGGGTTGGGGGGGGGGGTTGCAAACAGAGTCAGATACAACCCCCTCCGTGCGCAATTGCGGTCCATGGTGCATGATGAAACCAACAAGAACAGCAGCTTGGCAAGAGCCTTTACCTGGTGAACTGGACCTTCATGCCTGTTCCTAACCTATCTGGCCAGCCTCACTGACATCATCCTCCACATCTTCTTCACACAGGCAGAACCAACAACAGGATTTCCATCAAGCAAAGGCAAGAGCGCACGTCCCTGGTTGTGACCTGTGACCTCAGGGGTGAAGACAATATTGCCCAGATAAACTGGGAAAAGATGAATGGTTCCAGCCGTGCAATAGTGGGCATCATACACCCGAAGTACGGCATTCACATTCCCAAGGAGTACATGGACAGCATTGAGATCCTAGAAAGTTCCCATTTCCACACTTCCTCACTCATTCTGCACCAAGTGGATGAAAATAATGGCACCTGGTATTGCTGCATATTCATCACCTTTCCCTCTGGGAATCTGCCGGACTGCATAGAGGTGACCAGCATGAAAACTGCAGGTAAAAATCTGTCAAGTAAAATTACGATGACATTACGATAAAGAGGGGTAGGGGGAAATTCTTGTGCATACAGCAGCAACTACGTGGAGCACAGATGAACATGCATATAATGAAAAGACAGTAGGCAAAGTGCAAACAAGTAAATGTGGTGCAAAACAGTCTGGTGACACTTTACTTAGGCCATGTTTTTAGTAATTTATAAACATGTTCATAATGCATTATAATGCATTCATAAAGCATTATAAAGGCATCATGGCCATGTTTACAGTACACTACCATTGTAATGCATTATACTGTAAAGGTAAATAGTGCATTATAGATGAGAGCTTCATAGCGCATTTATAATGCATAATAAACATGGCTATGTGTTATGCCTTTTGATAAATATTTATAGCCATGTTAATAATGCTTTATGAATGCATTATTTCTTATGAATGTGTTTATAAATTGCCAGAAACATGGCCTTAAGTAACACGTTTCCAACAATTTGTAAAGCACGCACATACTCTGTAAATATTCTGGAAAAGAAAAGTAGAATATTTAGGAAATAAATGAATATTTAAAAATAAGAATAATAATAAATATTCTGATGGTACATGTGCAATGAAAAAACAAATAGCACCAGGCTTTTACTGTTGCAGAGATAGGATCAGCACTGCATCTCCAGCTAAATGTAAGAAGGCCTAGGTTTACCAAGGGCACTAGCAGTGATGCTGAGATATTGATCTCCAGAAGCTGAGCTGCTGAGCTAAGTGCATTTGTGTGTTTCACTCCGTGCTCGCCTGTGATGTGGATCTGACGCACGCATTATCACACGTGGCAAATGTGTGAAATGTGTATACTGTAGCACCAGCTCCTCAGCAAAGATTCCAGGTTCCTCCAGAGCGGCTCCTGCTAGGAGTCTCCGTCATTCTCATCATCATCATCACTGCCACAGTATACCTCAGCTGGCAGCATTTCTGCAGCAGGTACGAGACCCTCACTGTCTTCTGTTTACTGTACTGATCTCTCTCTCCGACGTGTCTCAGGAGAGCAGTAACAATACATTTGCTTGGAAGAGTCAATGGCTTGCAGGAAGTGATCACTGCATCTGGACCACAAACTATCACCACAAAAATGCAATGAAATCTTCACTGTAAAGTCTTTCATTACTTTATCCTGAAAGATCAGAATCAGAATCAGCTTTACTGTCATTCAAACCACTTGATATGATTAGAACAAAACACAGATTCTCAGGTCTCGGTGCGTGCAGCGTGCTACTACACAATAAATAGATGAAATAAATAGTAAAATGCTAGAGTAAAATATCTGAACTGGAAATGAAATGAGCTAAGGTAAAACCTCTGAAGTAAAAAATAAAACATGATTAAACAAGATTAAGTAAAAAGATTAAACATGTCGTGGCAGTATGGTGGTGCAGTGATTAGCACTGTTACCTCACACTGATCCCAGATCAGGTTTCGAGTCTCTGCCATGGCTCCATGTGTGGAGATTGCATTTTCTCCATGTGTTGTTGTGGGGTTTCCTCCACACACAGTCCAAAAACATGCTGATGTTAATTGGAGTTGCCAAATTGCCCATAGTTGTGTGTGTGTGTGTGTGTGTGTGTGTGTGGTCCAGGTATACCTTACCTTTTGGGGACCAAATGTCCCCACAGCCTAATGAATACCCGTTTCTTTTCTTTTTTTTACCTTATGGGGACCAGTTTCCAATTTTATAAAAATCCATAACTGCAATGAAAAAACTAAAAATGCAAAAACTATTTTGCTTGGTTACTTATGGTTATGGTTAGGGCTGGGTGGGGGTTAAGGTTGTCATAGTTAGCATTAGCATTTTTCCCATAGAAATGAATGAGCGGTCCACATCAAGATATGACTACGCGACTGTGTGTGTGTGTGTGTGTGTGTGTGTGTGTACACCCTGTAGTCAGTTGGTGCCCCCATTCTGGGTTGTTCCCTGCCTTGTGCCCTTATGCTCTGGACCCTGAAAAGGCTAAATGGTTGCAGAAGATGGATGGATTAAATATGTTTTGGTAATTCTTTACTTGAGGGGGCACAGATACTTAGTAGTTACCACTGAAGTACAAATCATGAACAAATATAGTAACTACTTGAGATAAAAGATGCATCATTATTCATTGAGGAACAAACATGAGATCAGTATTCACTTGTGTTTCTTCAGTAGCTCACAAAGGCTTACAGAATTAACAGATATAGTAACCGCTTGAAATAAAAGATATCACAATTCAGTAATGATGAACAAATGTGTGATCAGTATGTAACAAGACTTATAGTCTGTGGTTAATACATAAGTAATAGCATAATACTACATTATTTGTGTCCCATCAAGTGTTACCCATGTTTCTAATATGAATAATAAACATTTCACAAAAGTATAAAACAAATTCATTTTAAAATGCAAGCAATGCAAGTCAGTGTTTGGTATGGAAAGAGAGGGCTGAACTGATGTCATGTTAGTGTCCTCTGAAGACATAAGAACTGTGTAGCTAAAGGTCATCAGTGATACGCTATTGATGTCTGTTAGAAACTTATTGTGCAACGTTAATTGTCATTGTGAAGGGGAGTCTAGGTGCACAGTGTAGGTAGGCGGCATGAGAACACAAGGGGCACAAGTACCAACAGTTGAGAAATGAGGAGCTGAGGGAGAAACACACAAGGACAATAAATGCTGGAGTTTAAAAGCTGGAAAATAAGAATCTTGAGCTGAACTTTGGTTGTAATTGGGAACCAATGGCAGCTAAGAGCTGGAGAAGCAATGTGTGTTTAACAGCAAATGAGGATCACGAGGTGATCAGCAGAATGGACATGTGAGTGATTGGCAGAGTCCTGCGGTTACAGAACTCAAACTTGGACAGGAACATATTTTTAAACAACCAACTATAACTAGTGGTAAAGATAATATTATTCGCCAACTAATAATTTTATTTATTAATGTCATTTTAGTGGGATTTAAAATCCCAGAATTATTGGCTGTCCCACTTCAGATTAATAACTGCAAAATATCTTCCATTAAAATATGGCTGATATGCAGACAAATTCTCACATATTTTAAAATATAAAACGATGCACAGACTTCTCTGAAGCTAACCGGTTGTTCCATCTACCTTCAATCTTGCATAAACAGCCGACCCTTCCACATTCCGGGGCTTCGGGGCGCAGGCCCCGTGCGATGCATGCACATAAAACTTTTTGGTCCCCTTGGCAAACAAAGCAAGCATGCGAGTGTAGCGAGGTGAAGCAAAAAAATACTAGAAACGCGAGATACGAAGATCACTGCGAGATACCACATAAGGAGCAGCTGTAAAAAGGCACAGCGTCCTCCAAACCAGCACTGTACATATTTCTAATGCATTTATGAGTTGCATTTTTTTGCGTGTCGTCTACTGGCCTTCGCATGCCGACACTGTGATATATCGAATCCACGATGGGGAAAGTTGCCATGCAGACTGCTCGACTGTATAGTGTATACCAATATACAGTGTCAAATGGCAGGCAAAGAAATCAATTGTGCATTTTGTGACAATAATAGTTGTCAATTAACCAGCTATACAAGCTAAATGATAGAACAGAAAATACATATTGATTAACAATTGTTCATAATTTTAGGAGACGAGTGTTTCAGGTGCAGCAGACAACCCTATCCAATGAAGAGGAGGATCTACAGGTAAGCATAAGGATTCTTCTTATGCAGCGCCTCAGTTAACATGGGGTTCCAGCACTTACTTATGGAGGTGGACTACATTACGTTTTTTTTCACCATTACCAAGAACAATAACAATGTGGTTTCAGTAGATGGCAAAAATGATTTCCTGTATATAATTTCCTTTGACTGAAGCATTTCATGAGTGCAAGAAAATGTCAGATGCCTCATTTCCTCCTTGAAGAGCCAACCCTCTCCACATCTGCATTCTGTTGGTGTTCAGGAATCTGCAGAAGCATCCCCACAGCGGCTGGCTGAAAATGAATCGCCTGAGGCTTTTGACCCTTCAAAACTTTATGCAAGAATAAAAATTGACCGCTACTATGAGAGACTATGGAAAGCATGCCAGGCTGCCAAGTGTGGCTTGTCTCCATTGGCCGAATCAGGTGCCCGCAAGATCTACTATCTCCTTGGTGAGCATAAGCCACCACAGAACGATCAGGAGGAGGAGTTCCTTCAGATATGAGCTATAGGATGTATGAGCAGATATGAAGCTTTCTGGGCAGGTATTATTTTTTCTATTTTGTCATTTTAAATCATTTAAATCAAATTATCTTCTTACTGGAAATATCTAAGTGTGGTTCCTGTTTCATTACAGACTGGATTGTCTATGGTCATATCCTACAGAATACCATATGGAAATGAAAGTTACTTTTGTATATAAACAGCGTTCAATAAAAGAAATCTACTCAACATTGTTTGAAGCATCACAGATTACAAAACACGGACAAAAATGCAAGGACCCAGATGCAGCACTGCAACCGGATATGCGTAGATGTGCTTACATGTAGAATGTGCGCTTGAACGTTAGCGATCATCAAAGAGCAGCAGTTTTCCGTCACTCAGGAAGTGAAAGTTTTTTTTTAATGACAGGCCAAAATTTACACCTTGGCTTCCTTTTTTTTGATTCCTTTTTTTTCTGCAGGCCGGGGTAAAGAGGAGGCGTGTGCTGTGTGTTGCAAGCGCAAATGCGGGGTTATATACACAGTCATCATATACGCAATAAGAATGAAGCAGTACCGGCACTGCTATATTTTAATCTTTGAGGCGCGTCTGTTGTTCCCAACACCCCACCGTACCCCCGCCGCAGTTCTCACGTTCAATAGAGTTGCGACACTTTTATTTCTCCACTTCGAACACGGCTTATACAGATCACCATATTAAGCACCAGTTCAACTATTAAAACTAATAAATTCAGATTCAGTTTCTAGTGGCACAAATATCAGCCCATAGCAAAGTTCATAACCTAACTGATATAAAAATATAGCATAACTAATGTATAACATAACAAATATAAAAAGAAAAAAAGTTCATAACCTTAGCTGAAAATACAATACTAACCTCATTCATTTCACAAAATATTGGTATTTTTTCATGATTACTAAGTATCTATAGCAGTTGCCATCCCTGTTGTTATGTAGCCATCCTCTTCATTTAATTATTTATTCAGCCGGCCTGGTACTGTTCAGAAGTTTCCCCCGCTAGCGTGTCTATCCCAAACATTCTTGTAGCCAGGTTTGCCACAAAGGTCATGACAACTTGGTAATATGATAGCTATAGCAAAAAACAGGGGCTGAATCAACATTAACACACTATGCACTTCTAAAGCATTAAACTGCCGAGCTAAAGATCCTGGTGAGGTAAGCAGTGTACTTCAATGGATGATGTCACCACTGCAGCAGACTCTTCCTGAAAATAACCACAGCTGCCGGAGAGGAATCAGTCAGTAACGATTCAGTCACTGCACCAGTGAAGTTGTTGCATCATTAACTGTACCTTAAACCTTTTCAAATATAACATCCTACCGGGTGAGTCTGAAAATAAGAACTTGCATCCTTAGTTACCCAGCCTAACCTTTCTTTCCCCACAGGGGGTGACATGACTATTCTATATACAGTATGCTCACTCAGTGGCGTTAGCCTTTTGTTGGTGTGAACAGCTGTCGCCTAGCTATGTTACGAGGGCCTGGCCTTTGAATTATAGCATGTCAAGGAGCACTAGATACATTTTGGTTCAGAAATCAATCCCAGAAATGTATGGCCAAATATGTCCCATTTATGAAAATAATGGAGTGATTCTCCCATTCTACTCACTCTCATGCAGTTAAAATTATGTAAATTTCCTATGGACCTTATATATATGTTTATACAGTTAATTTAAACCGAATCGCTTACTTTGGGTTAGTTGACTGAGAAAAAACATTATTTTTAATTATTTTAATAGTGCAATGTAACCCTCTGACCGCCAGATGGCGAGCTGAAATAAAAGGAATTACGCATATAAGAAACGCTGTTTACAAATGGTAGAATGTGTCGCTGTGAACTCTACGTAACAACTATGGGCTGATATTTGTGAATTTTATATATTTGAATCTGCAGTTATCCGCATTACAAAACTGATTCTGAATTTAATAGTTTGAATCTGAATTCCAGTAACTTGAAATAGCATTTATCCTACCTCGAAAAATTCAGTTCGCAAATTCAACGAGGGGAGGTGGTGGTGGGCCCCCGCCAGTTAGACGGGCTTCAGCCTTTTTTCTATTAGCTACATGACAGAAAGAATATACTAAATCGTGTTTAATAAATAGTTCAGTGATCGTGTAATCAAATATTACCTTTTTGCGGA